AATAATAATAATAATAATAATAATAATAATAATAATAATAATAATAATAATAATAATAATAATAATAATAAGAGTGCTTTGTTTTGTCTCGTTATTAGGAGTCAACCAATGAGCATGACATATACTGGCAATTTATTGTGATTAGCACCCCATATAATTATTTCATTGCCCTATATTGGTGTATCATTACAGCAAAAGAAGTAGGGGTCAAATTCTTTGTTAATATAAAAGGGCACAGCTTTCCTGAACACCAGTGAGAAATGGCACTGAAAAGAAAGCTGTTAAAAGTGCCTCCAGCCTGCTTGCTTTCTTGGGTCCTGAGCTTGTTATTTGAGAACAATGAATTATGTATGGCAAAAATGATTTATTCATACTCCAAACAAGATTTATTATGGATTTGATTTTATAAAGAGGATTTCTCTAATCTGCTTATTATCTTTCCCCACCCCTTGCCTCCACTTGTTTATGAGAAAATATCAAGACCCAACTTACTTCTAAGTCAGCAGGAGCTTTACTCTCACACTCATGAAGGGCTTACTAAAAACAATGACCTAGATGCATGCAGTGTTAATCTGACTCCCATATACATAATTGTGCTGTGCCTCAACTGATACCACAAAAACTGCAAGGTGAATCAGAGGTAATTTCTTACAAAAGCAGGGGTTGCTGCAACGGTTTGTATTTAATGATTGGGAGAATAGTGACCAAAACCTGATGGTGCATCAGACTTTTGTTCTCAAGCTATTTAAAGATTTGTCCCACTATGTCTCTGCTCCTCTCGTCTATTCTAGACATCAGGAAGATCTTGTATGACATTCATATCTCACTGGGATTAGCAGAATTTCTGGAAAGTGTTGGGCATGTTAAAGGAAGGTCATACATCAGTGACAAAGCAGATTGTTTTGCATCAGAAAACTTCAAATTCAATAGAACTCGGTTTGCTCTGGAATGGACATCTCCTTTAAATCTGAGAACATCATTGTCATTTGAGCTTTAAAAAAAGGACATGCCAATGATCTAATAAAGGGGTCTCCAAACTTTTGAGTGTGAGGGCCACATTGTATCTTTTCCACATTTTTGAGGTCCAAAGGAACATGTGCGTATGCATGTACACGCAGCTGCACACCTGCCCGCATGGACATTCACACGCACCCCTGTCCAACTGGACACCCACGTGTGCACATGCACAGCCTGAAGGGAACGGGACAGATAAAACAGCAAGGTGGGCTGGATGTGGCCCATGGGCTGTAGTTTGGAGAATCCTGATCTAATGCAATTATAGGCCAGTTCAGTACTAGTTATGGTGGCGCTGCGAGGGACGTGGTGGCGCTGCGGGCTAAACCGCAGAAGCCTGTGCTGCAGGGTCAGAAGACCGGCAGTCATAAGATCGAATCAACGCAACGGAGTGAGCTCCCGTCGCTTTGTCCCAGCTCCTCAGCAACCTAACAGTTCAAAAGCATGTAAATGTGAGTAGATAAATAGGTACCATCTCGGTGGGAAGGTAGAACGGCATTGCCTAGTCACGCTGGCCACGTGACTATGGAAGACTATCTTCGGACAGGCGCTGGCTCTATGGCTTGAAAAGCGGGATGAGCGTCACCCCCTAAAGTCGGACACGACTGGACTGAAAATGTCAAGGGGAACCTTTACCTTTTTATACCACAAGTGCAGTAAGAAAAGGGGAATACCAGATATGAGATGAACTGACTCTATAAAGGAAGCCACAGCCTTGTTTTCATGACCTCAGCAGGGCTGTTAATGATAGGGCATTTGAGAGGTCATTCACTCATAGGGTTGCCACGAGTCGGAGGCAACTTCAAAGCACATAACAATACAATGTACCACAAATAACATAACTCCTCCAAGGCAGCAGTATCCATGCTGGATGAGAGCACTGTTACTTTGAAGATAGTTCATCACCATCTGTGTCTAGTATATCTGACATAGTACTGAAGCTTAGAAAGAAAAGCAGGACTTCATCTGCATGTCTCTTCAAATTCATGGCTAGAAGTCATATTCTGTGCTCTGCACTGGAAATGCAACCATAGAGATTCATATGTTCACCACTGTTGCCCATATTGTGTAACTTTTCTTATTCATTTATTTTTTCTATGTGTGTGAGAAAGACCAAAGCTCTGAGGAAAATTAACACTGAAGCATAGGATCAAACCCTATCTCATTTATATGCTGGAAATGAGTTTATATCCAGGAAAGTTATTTACATTTCTCCTTGTGTTTTTCTATGTGCATGTGAAACCAAAGGCTGAGAAGATGATGACAAATGTCATACTGTCTTCCTTAATTCTGCTTAGAATGCTAACCTATAAATGGGATCCATTGCAGGCCAACGGTTGGTCTCTGCTCCATCTCTAGACTGGTGAATGAAATTAAATGGAGAGGTGTATTCTGTTAAGGAGACAAGAGATCTAGAGGCATGCTAACTTGACCATACCTGCTGACCTTTGTTTGCCTCTCTCATGTATTCCTGCAAATGGGGTAGGCTGTCTCTGGCTTGCTTTTCACACCAAAGGTATACTGCATTTTACTGCAAAATCTCATTAACTTTATGATTACCATGGGCTTTATTAGGACACTTCTCAGAGAGCCCAGCTTTTTTGAGACTACAACATGTCCTAAGTCTGAAGCTGCCAGTCTTAACTACCTCGGTGTAATTTAGATTGCTGTCAAGTAGAATAATAGATAGCTCCTAGATACGGCTCACATTAAAGCCATCCCTTCTGCTTTGCTTATATGCAGCACAATAAATTTTGTTCCCATTTGTATCTGCTTTATAGCCCACCCACCACAAAACCATGTGAATAAGACATCCTTGGGTAATTTTCATGACAGCTTTTTAGGCCACTTTGCACTGTTGTTCTGTCGACTGTTTTCAAGGTTTGCATTTGCAAGTCAGAATTTATGGCCTCAGAGTTTTGTGCAGAAGAGCAAAGCTGAGCAAATGTCAGGCTTGTGGATCTTTTTTTAAAAAAGGGAACCACGTGAGCCATGAACCAGTGCCGTGTGCAAAAGATATAAATTTGAAATAAAGGAATACTGAGCCCAAGAATTTGATTTTAATACAGTACAAAAACAGAACATAGCTCATACAGCTCCCTTAATCAAAACAAAAACAAACACATACACCCAGGCTAGTTCTCTCCTTACCTCAAAACATTTTTCTTTTCAGCATGATATTTAGGACTATGGGAGGAATTTGGTTGT